ACTGTTTAAGGTAGATAGGAGTTACAGCTGGTTTTAGTTTGGCTTTGTAAGGGGTGCAGTTGACAAATCCTACATCTAACTTAGATGAAGCCCACACAGAAGAAGGAACATCAGACAAATCAATAGTTTCAGAACACATATAGACACATCAATACCACCAGAGGGCGTGTAAGTAATAGTAGCTCCCAGAATACCAAGAAGATCCCTTCCCAGCAAATTGACAGGACATTTAGGTATTAAACGAAAAGGGTGCACGGTAGAAGAACCATTAAGAGGACAAAAAACAGACAGTGGTGGTGTGACAAAAGTGGGGGTTGACACTCCATTAATACCCAATGAAGGTGTAGACTTTTCCCTTGTCCCCTGATAATAGGTAACATGTAGCTCCAGTATCTACCAAAAATGGCAAGGATCTACCTTCTATGACCAGAATACAAAAAGGCTGATCATCATTAGTAGAGGACAAAAGTGGAAAAGTTGTAGTGTCACCTTCGAGGCAGCCCTATTGGGGCCATGGGATGTGATGGGTGTGCTGGTCAGTGGTACCTGTGAATGGCCCTAATGCAGTTTGGGTTTGCTGGAGCGGGGGGGGAGAGGGAAGTGCTGGCCAGTGGTGTTGGGAGTGGGCCTGGTGTTGTTCTTGCCTACCGGGCGTATTTTGATAATTGTGGGGTTGTTGGGGCTGCTGGGGTTTCCTGGGGTGTGGACACTCATTCCTCCAGTGGCCATGCTGGCCACAGTTGAAACAAGTGTTCCTGTCTATTCCTCCTTGGTTACCCCTGCCCCTATAACCCTGATTTCCCTGTCTCCATCCCCTTGCCCCTCTTTGACCACCCCTTCCACAGGCTCTATGTGCTCCATCCCATCCTCTCTCTCGGGCCTGTGTAGGTGGACAGTGTTGCAATCCCTGAGCATAATAAGCAACCTTACTTCCTGAATCTTTTCTTAAATCAAAACAACCTGCATTTTCCTTCTCAATAACCTTGGTAAGAAAATCTGAGCCACCCAAATTGGCCCAGTCTGAAATCAACTGTTTCACAAGCAAAGAATACTGTGGCAACATATTACCAAGGCATGACTGTATTTTAAGGAGATCCATATCATCTCCAGACTTCAAACCTGCCTCATCCTTCCAACACTTGTAAAATCTCTTTACAAAAACACCAATCTCTTCCTTTGCACCTTGCTTACATGCCAAAGCAGTGGATATAGACTGCTTATTCTTCCATAATCTCAACATTTCAGCTTCCACCTCATCCCACATTTTAGCACATCCTGCTGAAGTACTAAGCTCATAAACACCATCACTGCCAGCCACTACAACTCCAGTACCGTTATCTGTCTCACTGATAGAGGGTACATTAGACCAATTCCAACCAGAATCTGAATCATACCCTAATATTCCATTTATAATTAACTGTATGTCTATCTGTGTCATGTTCTGTCCTAAACACATTCTTTTCAGATACATTAGGCATGCAGAGGGATTAGTACGGGGGTTTGGGGCACCTTGAATAATATCCTTGAGTACTCCGGGATTAATGGGTTTCATTATTAACTGATTACCAACAGTCATAAACGGGAACGGGGCAGTAAGATCAGCACCTTCTAATTCTGGCATCTCTACATCATCATCATCTTATGTACATATGATTTTAACACCTTGCCACTTTTAAGTTTAACTCCTGTTTGTACTGTTAATTTAACTGTACCAGGAGGTGGCGGTGGGTATTCTATATCAGAATCTGGTGTAGATGATGATTCCTGTAATTGCTGTGATTGTGAATTAACAGCTGCAGCAACAGAAATATCCTCTATATCATCCTCTGAGGGGGCATTAGGTACAGCAGGATACATTGCTTTATAGGGAGGTGGGGGTTGTGGTTGGGCATGGCCGGGGGCTAACTGGGTAGGGGGCACAGTTGGTGGTGGATATAGATTATCAGGAGGGGCTTCTATAGAAAAGCAAATAGTATTACTGTCAACAGTTCCCTTTCTCTTAGCCAGGTGTTTCTTAGCTCCCTTTAAAACCTTTCCTGTTACACTACAAGGAAACCAATGAGGGGCTATCAGCAACCAATTTTCACCTCCTGCTTTCATATATTCCTTATCCCAATCTGGATCAGGACCATACCACGGCCATGACTTCCTATCTCCCAAACACAATCCTCGAATCGTATTCATATGGAAATCATCATTAGCCCCAGACCTGGGAAAAGGATCAGATGACTTCATAGTCTCTGTCCATCCTGCTAAATTTGACACAAAGGGGATTGTAAGAAATCCTCCTTGTGCTCCTATTCTAGTAACATAATTTAGACATGACTCCCCTGGGTGGGGTAAAGGGTAAGAAATAGACTGATTATTTCCCATATTTCTGGCTCAGGGTAGAGACACTACCTACTTACCAATAGTGTGTCTCTACTTAACAAGCAAAATAAACACAAAGCAGACACAGGGTGACCAAAGGAACGAGAAGTTTGGGTTATTCTAGATCTATGAACCGTGTTCCCTAGAACACTTATAGTATTAATAAACCGGAGACTCCTTTATAGTCTCAAAACCTGTATCTACCTGAGATACCCTGTATCTATCTTAGATACTAACCTGGGTTACCAAAAACCCTATATATATTTAGACCAAATGTCTAATAAACCGGAGACCTATTTACAGTCTCAATATAACTAAGTCCTTATACCTTTCCTTTCTACTGGATACAGACTTACTAAACCAAAGGGGGTCATAGACAATTAGCGTCAATAAGACACAAAAAGGCTACTCACCCAATGGTTTTGCTGATCCCACTTCTAGACACCAAGCTGAAAGGATAAATGCTGTTCTGGACTCAACTCCCCTCGATTCTCGCTCCTTCGATCACCACATCAATTGATGGGAGATCTTGTTTAGCAAATAAGACACACAGACACGAAAGAGTGCATAACAAGTTCTCAATGAGTATATTTTCAGGGCTAGCATTTATACACAATTTCTCATGCAAGCAGTGAAGTCTATAGTGTCCTTGTGGTTAATAGTACATACTTGTCGGACATGAAAAAGATAAGCATTTGGATGAAGACGAGACAGGAACATCCTAAGGTCAAGGAAGGTCATACATCCTGTAGAGGAAAGACCTTGGTACAAAATACATCTGCCAAAGTCAGCATAATTATTTCAAACATTATTTTAAAGCATATAAAGCAAAAAGAGTTAACCATTTCACTTCCTTACAACTAGTCCTCCAGGAAGACAAGTCGTGGTCTGATAATAATAAACAGTGTAGATGTGCATTCTCCCTTAAAGCAAATATGTACCTTCAACCTGAACATAGTAAATAAGCTGTACCTTCAACCTGAACATAGTAAATAAGCTGTAACTTGATTGTGCAATCGGATGCTCTCAGTTAACCTTTAAATCACAGTTACTTTCCATATTTCCTGCTGGGAGAAGGTAGATGAAGATACAGGTACGTAGACTGTTATTCACTAAACGGGTTGAGGGAGGAAGGTGTTTGGGGGACATGCATTTTTTAGTAGTGGTGCAGCTGTAACAGCACCCACACAAAAAATACAGTCTAAATGCAAACAAGGTGATATTAAAGCTGCCTAATATCACCTATCTTTAGTGTTGTGACCACCACTTTGTCACAGTTTCCCAATATCAGAGGGTCCTACACTAATTTTAACATGGGAGACAAACATCTAACTGCAATACTTATTTCTTTAACAGCTTCAGCTTATAGAGACTCTCCACACTTTATGTTTTCTAGATTGTTAATTGAGCTTTAATCACACACAGGAAGGTTCTGCAGACTCTTAACAGTTGAGATTAAAAAAAATTTAAAAAATATATAAAATTAGGCGTTTGCGTATTTAGGGAAATGTTAAAATATATATATATATTTTTCAGGAAAAGTGTAGGAAGGCTGTGTGAGTCTCATCCAGGGGAAGTGTGACTAGAGCTCTATAAACAAAGGGATTTAACTCCTAAATCGCAGAGAATTGTGCAGTGAAACTGCAGTGGCATGCTCCATAAACCATGTTATTTTTAACAGATGCACCTGGTAACAAAATAAATACTCCACACAACGTCCTGTAGTAATGATACATACCCACAAGATGGTGCTGGTAATAATTAGATGCACAGTCTGAAAATAAAGCCTTGCATTAATGATATTTAGTCACCAGATGGCGTGCAGAATAATAGTACAAATTTAAAGTCTTTTAATAAGGCTGTAATAATACTATTTGGATACCAGAATAACAATACAAACGGCAGCAGTCAGCAATCCTGAAGTGCAGGAAATAAGGTAAAATCTAAATAAATAGGTACAGTCTGAATAAGGGGGATAGCATAGTACTTAGTTTCTTCTTAGATACAGTCCTTTTGAGGAGGTACCAACACCAGCACAGAAGGTTCTCCCCTCTGCAAGACTATAGGAAACCACCACAGTCAGACTGGGATCACCAGAGTAGCTGCTGAGAGCAGGATTGGGCAGCTTTACAATAGGTGGGCACCGGAGGAGCTGGTTAGTGAAACAAGTTTTACTATGATGTACTGGGATCGGCGATGCAGGAAGTAGCACAGTGCCAAGTAGGTTAGAGAAACGCTCTAGGCTTTCTCCAGAAACCAGAGTATTACCAACAAGTAACCAAAGTTGCTCCAGCACAGGTGTGACGGTGAACACCCTTAATAAACCTGGAGGGGAGGGAGTGTATAGATAATTTAACCCTATGTGTAACACCAAAACTGTTTCATTAAGGTAAAGTTATTTTGGTGCTTAGATAGTCCCTTTTAATATGTGTTTGCCATTTTTCATCTTTTTTTTTTTTCCCCCTACACTTCTCCAACAAACATTTTGGAACTCACCAGTAATGGTTCCAACATGTTGGTGGAAACCACTTACTGTAATGGCGCCAATAAAGATGGAGAGGGCAAATGTCAGGTAATATAAGCAGGAGACACAACCGTTGGAAACTGACTATAGGTTGTCTTCTCTAGGAATGGATGTCAAGGCGTATCTCCACCGGATTGGTATTACAGCTACCCCGGCACCCTCTCTTGTTGCCTTACGCAAGTTACACCGCCAGCACTTACTATCCATTCCTTTTGAAAACCTCAGTTTCCACAGTGATGAGAACATTGCTCTGGACCAAGATTTTCTGTATGATAAAATTGTGGTAAAAAGACGAGGTGGTTGCTGTTTTGAAAACAATGGCCTTCTCTTGTGGTTGCTCCAAGTATTGGGATACAAGGTATTTGTGCTGTCTGCCAGAGTACGAGACAGGACCACTGGTTTCTTTGGTCCTCCCACCCACATGGTGCTGACAGTAGAACTTGAGGGTAGGTGGTGGCTTTGTGATGTAGGATTCGGAGAAGGAATTAGGGAGCCATTACCCTTAGTTGCTGGGTGGGAAGAGGAGCAGGAATGTGGCAAATTTAGGCTACGAGAAAATCAAGAGGAATGGGTTTTGGAGGAAAATGAGGATGGCACTTGGACCGGCCTTTATAAATTCACACTGGAAGAGCGATGCTTGGAGGATTTTAAATGGTCTTCTGAATATCATCAGTCATCCCAAAGTTCTATAATTTTCTGCAAGTCTTTCTGCACTCTCCAACTCTCTCGAGGAAGACTGACCTATGTCGGGCACAAGTTGATCAGCACAGAGTTCACTGCAGAAGGGGGGAAGGTGAAAACCACAAGGCATCTCAAGGATGACGAAATCCTCAATGTGCTCAGAGATCAGTTTGGGATTGTTCTAAGTCGAATGTTTTTCCCAAAGGATGAGAAGATGTTACCCTTAGCCTATGCTTAATGTTCCGTATCTTTATTTAAAAAAAAATGTATTTCACACCAACTGGATAGTTTGTCCATGGCAAGTGTGCAAGGAGGACTGCACTATTGGCAATATTTACTAACTCAAAAATTGAGGAGAATGCAGGACTTGGAGAATATCTAGAGATTGAGATTTTTTACTCTTTAATTTTCTGCTCAGCTCTCTACAATTCCCAGTTTAATGATTCACCCTGATAGTTCCATAATATTGTTTTTATCATGCTTAATGACATGCTCATATAAAATCTTGGTTAGCAATATAGCAATATAAATACCTATCATGACAAACAACTGATAAAACAATCTGACAATATTAGAAGACTGTGCGTTTATCATCACAATTCAAAATAATTCTTTAATACTCCCACACGCCATCTATTGCATGTATTGAGAATCTGCATGCTGTATGATC